AAATGTTACTTACCATAGTATCTATTTCACTACTAGTTCTGAGTCTTTCCCAGCATCAAAATTCCCCCAAAATGCTGCTCTGTCACTTTTTTGTGATTTCTTTTACCTTGTTTCCACCCCTGAGTAGTTGTTAGGTTCACAGCTCCTTTCAGAGTTGTAGAACTGAGGTATGTAGTCCTATAACTCTCCTCATTTCTCTTTGCAGTGTTCATTTTCCTTCCTCTATTTTCCATCAACCCTTTTCTTTTTCTTTTGCATCCTTTGTTTTGGTACCAGGCTCAATAGCCTGTCTGTAAGTCTGTCACTCTTTGTTAAGATCATTTTGCTTCCAAATTGAGCTGGTAGGATAATGCTGCGAGAGCTCTTTGTGTAAGAAAGGGGCACAGAAATCTTGCCACTGGGGCCCGCACCTCAAAACTGACTGTTGTTGCAAAGCCATGAGTCAGCAGGTATTTGTGGCTGCCATCATCAACCAATATTTTGTTGAATACTTGCTATGAACGTGGCATCTTACCTGGCCACCTCCCTGGGTTCCAAAGGCAAGTAAGTGGGTGTGCCAGGCAGAGGAGCACTAAGACCTTGGAAGGTAGGACTAATGTGGTCCAGTGGTCAGGGGCCCTCATTTAATTCCTGGCATCCTGGTCCATGCCAGCCTCTTTCTGCCCTTGTGATTATGGCAGCTGAGAAGTCGGAAGGGAAGATGAACTTTGGTGTGCTCTGAGTTTTCCTGTCCAATGGTGTCTGTCAGATTAAAAATGAGAGGTAAGGAGGCCAGAGAATCTTCCAGATGTAGCATTCAGAGGAAGGCGCAGTCAGACTCCCTCTCCACAGTGACATAGCTGGGCCATCTGAGCATTGGCCCAGAAGCTGGAGGAGCACAGGCTGCTGCCTGACCTTGCGGCGGAGTAGCAGCCTGGCAGAACAGTCACCCTTGGCTTGGGGTGGGAGCATATTCAAATGGGCACACACAGGCCACGTAGTGGAGGCACAGTATTTATCCCAAGGGCTGGGGCAGCCTGCTTGGAGGTTTTGCCCTTTATCCTGAAATCCTTTTAAGAATGCATTTCCCAAGTCATATGGGCAACTACAGAAACCAAATGAGGAGTTGGTGTTCTCCAATCTCTCTGTTTCTTACTTTAGAATGAATCAGCCATGTAAAAAAGGTGACCTTAGATAGGATGGTGGCAGTAGCTGCCCAGTGGCTGTAAATCCCTGGAAGGACAGCATGTGGGCAACAGTTCCAGGCAGCAGAGGTTTGGCAAGGACACAGTGTATTGACAGTCTCCACACCCCTTGGAAGCTCGATTTTGAAACTGGTTTTAGCTGAAAAGTGTCTAATGTGGGTGCTCCAGGAACAGGCTTTTACTCAAATGAGAAGTGTTTTTCAGACTAAGGCTCTCCGAGGTCTATGTACTGATGGCATAATATCAAATGAGGTTAAACACTGAATATTTGGCTTGACCTTCCTTAAAAATGGATTATTTTAACATTGTGTCTACATAACCTCTGTTTCTCTCTGAGATGGCACTCTTTTTCTCAAATTCAGGTTATATTAGAGTTTGGGGATGGCCTGTGCTTTTGGGAGCAGAGCTATTTGACTTGAAATGTCATCCCATTCTGAGAAAACATACTGGGGCCACGTTAGTGCATCCCTGTGCAAATGTCACATTGTCAGAGTGTCTCCCCTGGGATTAAATCAGCTATGCTACTTCCCGGTCCTGCCTGTCTGGGGGACAAAGCCACTGTGACTCTTCACAGTGAGGCCACCAGCCCAGCCAACATCATGCTCCCCAAGATTTCATGGAATTTGATTTGTCTTTAGCTCTCTGAATTATAAGATGCTAATTATCAGATGATTGGTATTCTCAGATGCCACCTAATGCTTCTCCATAGCTCCTGCTACTTGGAAAATTTACTTTTCCAATGCCTGGAAAATATAACAGCATTGAACAGGTATTGCAATAGTGTGTTGTGTTTTGCATGTGTGGGCATGTATGTGCATGTGTGTATATCTCAGGCTACAGGATTGCAGGCTTCTGTAGGAAGAGACCGTTATATCTTATGAAAGCCGAGAGTACAAACAAGAAAAGGAAAAAAAAAGAACAAAAATAAAAATACAAAACTCACCCTAGCTTAAGAATTCCCAATGTTTTCAATTTTAATAGTAATGTAAACTTAAATATTCCTTTATTAAGCACATTTATTGAATGTACCTTATGTGCCAGGAGCTGTGGATTCAATAAGGAACAAGATAGATGTGGTCTTTATCTATGTTAAATGTTTGGTCTAGGAAAGATGTTCACATACAATGTTTGACAACATTGATAGTTTTCCAGGTGAATAACACAACTAAGAATTATTCTGATCACCTCTCTGAACCCTAATATATCAGAGGTTCACAGATTCTGAAAATACTCCATAAGAAGTATATATAAATTGATATTGAACTTCTAGGAATACATCTGAGAAGTGTCAGAATTTCTGGAGTTCTTTGCTGCTTTTTCTTATGAGGGTTTAAATCAGTATGCAGTTTCTCAAATCCGTGTGTTTAAAACATTCATTCATCATCAGGTTGTTTAACCTGAGCTATGTTTTCCAACTGCCTGGTTTTCACCAATATGTAGACAAAGATTTAAGAGTCTTCTCTTAGTTGAAAATTGGCTATCATTTGAAAGAATGTTGTAATAATTTGTCTTCTGTAACAGCTCACTGACCATAGCACAAGAACCAAAAAGAGGGATGAATTTATTCAGTGTCTTCATTCTTGTGCCTTGTCTTCATTCCTGAGGAACAAACTTCTTTCCTAGCTATGTAGATAATTGTTAAAGACTTAAAGGTCAGTAACCAATCCCTGAATGTGGCCATCAAGTCAGTTGAGCGCTACAGAAAGCAACAATGTATGTGAATCCCTGGTTCCCAGCAATGTTGCTGTAGATAAGGTGAAATGAAGTTGGATAGCTCCCAGAGATAGGTTTCAATTGGAAAAAGAGGAATCTCAATCAAAAGAGGTTTCTGTAATTGAGAAAGACATTGCTTTAAATTAGGAGTGTTTTTTTTTAAGGGAGCTGGGACTGGATAATGGAGTAAGGGGTTTGGGGTTGGTAAAGCATTTTCTTGGTGACTATCTTCTGAAAAACCAATTGGAAAAATCAATGTGTAACTGGCTTGTACTGCTTTGCTTCCATGTTTACGTCTTTTAGGACAGCTGAAGCTCAAACCTATTTGGATTCATTTAAATCTAATCTATGTCTTGCAGGAGGTCATATGAAAGTTACAGAGCCTGTCTGCTCTAGAACAAAATGGGAGCAAGTTAGGCATCAGGGGAGTGGGAAGTGGTGTAACACATTGTAGCTTCATGTGGAAGTATTCTCAATGCTTTTAGAAGTTTAGGTTCTTTGGTTTTCAGGTCAAGACAAACGTGGGAAAGAAAATACAAGTCTGAGTTGCTCTTGCTGACTTTTGTCCAGAAAGATAGGTACTTTGGGCACTGGAACAAGTTTTCTGATCGTGGCCTGCTCTTGCATTGGATACCAAGCACACATACAAGGACAAATATTCAGGCACTGGAGGTACACACAAAGACTGTAGAATTCACTGGTTCTTGTTTATTCAACAAGTATTTATGGAATGACTCTTTGTTGTTGGTATAGAACCTAGGGCTCACAATGAATGGGCAAGGCGATGTTGGTTTAAATCGTAAAGGCCATAGGTTTTCAAGAGTTTAGACATAAATTAAGGTAATGAAACATATACAAAGGAGAAAGTAATAATTTAAGACAGTAGTATGCATGCCTGTCTGAGGTCTTATATGATTAAGGTGAGGCTGAAGCTGTTTTAAGACCAGTCCCCCTACCTTTCCCTTTCAACTTTCTGGGCACCTTTATTTCCCTTTCCCACTGTTCTGCTTGCAGCCTCTTTGTCTCAACTGGATCCTCTCATCACCTTGACACATGCTGAGGTTTTTTCCTGTTTACAAACTACATGAGGAAACCCTCTGTCAGTCCTTTTTTCTTCCTCCAGTTGCTATTTTCTTTCCTCCCTTTCATGTCCAGATGGGTCTAGGATTGTCCTTATTCATCTTCATTTTAATGATTTTCTCATATCTTAATGAACTCCAAAATGAATTCTGTCTCAATCAGTCCACAGAACAGTTCTCACTGAGTTCCTCAATGACCTTCGTGTTGGGCATTTTTAGTACTTCTACCACTTGACCTTTCTGTGACACTTAAGGTTTTTATTTTGCTTTTCTGGCCACTGTTCTCTCTCCTATATGGTATTCATCCTTCTTGACACAACTGTTAAATGTTGAACTTCCTCAAGGATCAATCCAGGGCTCACTTCTCTCCCTACTTTCTAGAGATAGCTCACCAATTGAAACCCTTCCCTTTGGGCTACAGACACATATATACTCTGTATATAAGCAAAAACATAGTATATATAGGGTTCGGTACTGTCTGTTACTGGCATCACCTGGGGATCTTGGAATGTGTCTCCAGGGATAAGGATGAAGAGCACTGCTGTACTCATTGGGCAAGTGGTGAGGTCTGGAGTGGAGGGACCCTGTTCCTCATATAAATGGAATGGGCCCCCTCAAGTAAAGCTTGTTCAGGGAACTGGAAATAAACTGTGCATGAAAGATGACCCTAAAAGAAATAAGAAAATCAAGTGCTTTGTCAGATCGAGTGCGCTGCATAATGTTTAATTTGATTTTCATCTCTGCACATCCCATTCTGTTGAATTCACATCCTGAAAGATTTGACTGTAGACCTGACTAGGTTTGTGTGCTTCAGTTCTGGGTAGACATGTGTGCCGTTTTCAGTTTATAACTGTGTCTTTTATTGGCCTCTTGTGTGGTAGACATAAGGCACAAGTTTTATTGATGGTTTATTTGGCTTGTACCACACACTATGGCATATGGAAATTCTACTTAGAGACATGGAGAGAAAATTTTTGGTGTTTTATGCAGATAACTCAGTGCTTTCATTTTTATCTCTTTGTAGCCTTGAAGCTCAGCAAAGAAGGGGATCCACTGAGAATAGTCTGTAAAGGTAAGTGTATTTATTACATGGCCTTGACAAACATTGCCTTTACAACATTGATTTTTCTTTTATTCAGAGATTTAAACACTTGGATTAAAGATGTAGTTGACAGGACAACTTCCTTAACCACCTGCTTGTCCTCCTTCATAGGCAAAAGTGCTGAGCAATAGTTAGCAAAGAGCAGGAGGAAATAAAGTGATGTGCTGAGGGTACCCAAATTCAATTGTATGCTTGCTGACTTTTGCTTTCTTCTCAGCAGTTAAGGCATTTCAATGGAGCTAAGTTTACTAAGATTAATGCTAGATGGATAAAGAATGCACTCGTACCACTTCTGGTCAATAGTTAAATAAAACCAGCTGGCTAGATAAAGCATTTAAAATGAAATGCAGAGTGGCATTTCAATTGGGTTGGATGAAATTTATCATGAAAGTCAGCTTGTGCAGTTGTGTGGAGAAGCTAGTTTTGTAGAAGAAAGCCAGCCAGTTTGGTGTAGCTAATTTCATTCCACCCAGTCAAGGTAGACCCTAAGTGAGTTATAGGAAATGAACTTCCAAGTTCACAGCAACGGGAAAAGTACCTACTCAGCCTCCTGTGAAACATTACAATTGAGTTGATTTTTACATGGAAAAATGTAATTGTTTCCTCTTTGCTAGGTATATTTATACGCGTACTGCTTTACGGCATTTTTCTTTGATTCATTGTTTAATTTCTGTTCTGCATGAAATATTTTAATTTAAAGATCATTCTGGGGAATTATAGGGCTGCAGTTTCATTGAGAGTCTTTGGTGGCCAGGATGAAATATGCTATAATTTTACCTTTGTTTTCATCATCAATTATGTTTTTGACAATTTTAGGTTTTTAATGTCATTTTTATTATAGCTATCATGACTGTGACCACTTTAGTTAAAGTTGAAAAGCCATTTTGATTTACCTTATATTTTAAGTTATTCTTAACTTTATGACAAATCTACTTCTGTGGTTGAATTTTCAATGTTTGTTTTGAGGATGAAAAAGTATTTTACAGGGAAATTGGAGAAAACCTTTTTTGAATAATCAAAACATGAGCTATAAAAACACTGTTTTGAGGATTTGCTTTGGGATAACTAAACTCTGGTGCATGAAAGCTGGTTGGTTTAGAATTTTTCTGAAATGGTTGGGCACTAGCGAAGAAAAACTAACTTCAGAAGTAGGCAATTCTTATTTTTAGCCTTGTAACTTATGTATCTCCAGACCAATGAACCACATCTTGGAATAAGCATACTTGAAAAGTTTTAGAAAAAAATTCTCATTAATTATTGGAGTTAGTGATGAGGCAGTAACAATCAAAACTTTGAGATCTTTAGGTATGGTTATGGTACTCACATTCCTCATGGAGGGGTTTTTCCACACTGGTACAATTCATTTCCTCTACTGTCAATGAAAATCCTTGGTTAAATTGGTATTCTGGAGACAGACATGGATTTAGTCCTGGTTTGGCTTTTATTAGCCATTAGACTATGGACAAGTTATTTATCCCCTTTCTGTCTCAGTTTCCTAATTTATGAAATGGGGATAATTAAATTGTTTTCCTAATAGGGTTATCATGGAGATTAAATGAATTATTAAGTTTCAAGGGCTTAGAACAGGTCCTGGACCATGGTAAGTACTCAGTAGATATTAGCAGCTGCTACTCTTGTTAATATTACTGTCATTATTGTTAATATCAACATTAGCATCTTATGAATGAATTAATTAGATATTTTGAGAAGTCTGTTCTTTTTGGAAGCTTCAGAATAATGTTTCCAAAATAAACATGTTGTTACTAATGAAGTGCAAGTTGTGCTTTGTCTTTAGGAATCAAACGAAAAGATAACTTTAAGATAGTATGAAAAGTGAGGCCTCTGGAAGTAAGAGGTTGTCAGGTTGAAGACTTGTAGACATCAGGGTAAACACTTCCTTTTTGTTTTGGTGTGAGTGATTACTAATTAATATAGTCTTTAAGAAATTAGTGATCTGCTAATTACATTCTTAAGGAATTTTTGAAGAAACTCTTGGTAAATACAGAGGAACGTCTCCCCTCCCCCACTTTATTTTTCTAACTGGTGTCTGTTTTTTCTTTCCTGGCTGCCTCTTTATTTCCTTGTGAGTTAATTAGACTAGTAGAACTATAACCAGGGGTCCTATGCAGGGGCCTACAGTCAGCCCGGGGATGAGTGCATGACCACCAGCTTCGTTTAGTGGGTGCATTTGAATTTTGAGCTAAGAGCTTCTCCTTTCTCCCAGTGGGCATGCTGCCTGGCAGTACCTTCTGTGAGACTTACTGTAGCAGTTCCCATATCCTAGGCCCCCATGCCTGTCTTGGCCACTGATGGTCTCTAAGCCTTATTTTCCAGTCTGCCATGGATTCACTGAGCCTCTGACTTCCTTCCAATGATTCTTCTTAAATTAGCCAATTGATTTCTCTTGCTTATAACCATAGAACCCTCATTGATAGAGCAGTTTACACATTATGGAGCTAGATATGGAATAAATGGGGTGTGTTTGGTGGTTTACAGTTAAAATACTGTTCATTACTTTCTTCCATCATGTATAAGCAGCTGGACATTTTGCAGTAGATTACAAAAGTTATAAAATTCTCAATTAGTATTTCAAAAGTGGGCTATTTTGCTGAACTCCCTAGTACTCCCGTGTTTGGTAAAAAGAAGTCACTTTTGGCTGCTTCTCTAAGCTCTCAGTGGATGCTTGTATATGTGGGAGTAGAATTGGAAATGAGAAGCAGAGAGTTCATTCTTCCCAATTTCTGTGGCATGGGATTGTGGAGGGACTGAGATTTCCTTCTACTTACCCCAGCGTCCCAAAACAAAATTCAAGTCTTCTTCTACTTTTTTCCTGAATTTTTACTCCCCCTTTGAACACTTTTCTTGTTCTACTGAACACCTTCTTTTCAATGACCTGTAAAATGTGATTGAAAACTCAATTAATTTGGTCTCTGGCATTGCTTGTGGTTTTCTGAGAATGGAGTAGGCAAGTTTGCTCCATTTCCCCTTGTGTCTTGTTTGTTGACTGCTTCTGTGTTCTGTGCAGTGCCTAGAACAAAGCTGGTTAATGATTTTTTCACAGGACATCAATTTTGCTCTCCTGTGAATAAATAGCACAACAGCATTGTATGGTGGAAAGAGCCTTTGCTGAAGTGTTGGAAAACATGCCTTCTATTAATAATTTCGGCTCTGCTGCTTGCCAGCTTCTTAAGGTTTCAGGATCCTCAAATGTAAAATCAGGATAACCCTTGCCCTATCTACTGCATAGGGCTATTTTGAAGGTGCCATAAAGATAATGTATGAGAAAGTGCTCAGTGAGTTGTAAAGTGCTGCATAACATCAATGTATTGTTATTATTATGCCATGTATATTTATTTAACAGATTGAAAAACCTCAGGGCTTGTTTTATGGGGCTGAATAAAAAAGGAAGTAAATTAAAAACAAAAATAAAAACTAAACTCTGTATACAGTGCTTGTGCTGAATATTTTTTATTTATGCCCTTGCTCCTCACTTTTCTGGAGATTCCTCCGTGGCCCAGGAGGCTAACCTCTATGGTCAGCATTCCCTGGGCGCCCTTGCTCTCTAGCTTTCTGTAGGATTAGCCCGTGGAAGGCACTGGGCGAAAATCTGAGAAGGCAAGGTTGTGGTATCAGTACTCCCTACCTTCCTTGCAGCATTACTAGCTGGCAATGGCTCTCTGTATTCCCCTAATGAAGGCCATGGTTCGTGTGGAGGTCCTCTTTTCTTCAGGTACAGCTTTTTCCACCATCTGGTAACCATTCCCTTTCCCCTTTAAGACTGGGGTAGTAATGGTTTTATTTTTGCTAATTCCAGGGTACTAGATTGCCCCTCTTGGTTTCCCTTAACCTTGCTTAACACCTTTCATGATATTCACTTCAATTACCCCAGGTGAAGATGCTGTCTCTTTCCTACTGTACCTTAATTGCACAAAGGGACTTCTTTATATTTCTTCCTGCCTCAATTTAGTTCAACAGATGTCTTTTTAAGACTTATATAATGTGTAAGGGATGTAGTAAGTACTTATCGTAGACTTTCAAGAACTGGACATTATGGTGGTACAGTGGGGGTATTACATTTATCAGTTTTTTCAAAAGTGAGTTTTGGTAAATTGGAAAACTGTTAACCTTAGTATATAAAGATATCCAATATTATAGACATTATGAGTGATCTTTTAAAATTCATTTTTATCAAAGCAGCAGATCTATATTATATGAATAAAACAGCCCAAAAAAACAAATACAGAAAACTGCAACATCTTCCTCCTCCTTCCTTTCTCCCTCTCTTCTGACCCCTTACCCAGAATTGGCCACTTTCAACTTCAGTACTTCTGGTGTTTATCTATTTCTAAATGATGCGTTTTCCTGCTATATCAACTTTAGCAGTAGCAATTCCACATGTCCCACTTTTACCACTTTTGGTTCTCATACCCTGCTAACATAATCACATAATTATATCACAATTTTTGTTTAAGTCCATATGTAATATTTACATTATCATGTAGGCCTGGTTGGCAATGTTTTCTTTAACATATTACTTTTTGTCATCCTTGGAATTAACTAACATGCTTTTGAAAATTCACTTACTTTCCTAGGCATCTATGGTATGAAATAGATAGTAATAGCATTACCATTTTATAGATGGGAAACTGAGGCAAAAGGCTAAGTATTTTTCCCTTAAGTGTTAGAATTGGGATTAGTCTCTAGCCAGTCTGTCTAAGCCTGAATTCTTAATCATGACACTGTTTACAAACACTGGCATCTCAGTTGTTATCCTAATGGCTACATTAAAAAAAAAATAAAGAAAGCAAAAACCAAACCAAAACAAAACTTGAGTTCTATCTTCAGAGATTTAAAAAGCAGTAGATTTGGGATGGGGGCCAAGAATTTGTAGTTTTAAAAGCTCCACTGGTGATTCCATTATTCAGCAGCGTTTGAAAACTTTTGTTCTATATCCTGCCTTAATCATAATT